AACAATATAACTATAATATAACACGTGCGTTATATTGCAGTTATAATGTAGAGTGGGAAATTACAACTAACGAGTACGTCACATGTAACTTTGTGTTTGCTGGGATATCACGAAGATAATAAGAACGATACAGACTTACTATTTGCTTTACTGCTGATTGAGTTAATCATCCATTAATTTAATCAGCGTTAGTAACAGTCGTCCTAAGTAGTCTCAAATAATCTTGCCTTGCATTAATTGGCAGTTACACAAACTATTTTTATTTCTTATACATTTACGTTACTGTAAAAAAATTCTTATTCATATTACTATAAAATAATAAAACCTTATAATGCATCTTACAATTAGTTTCTCTTCCTAACCTTCAAGATTTATGTCTTAAATTAATCTAATCTCCTTTTGTTAAATATTGAGTTATAAATAAATGGAGATCATTATCGAATAAATTGCTTGTCATTATCATTTCCTAGCCTAGTTAACAGATATACCAGTGTATAATCCCATCTCCGTTCGATTTTCTTTTATTAAATATTAATTACAAACTTTTTCATTATCGTTTTCTAGTTAACAAATTCTTTGTAGTTAAACAGAGATGTAAACCATATGTGAATTCGACAAAGTCTCAAATTTTGTTCCAAATGAAAATGTTCCAAACTGGTCCAGCTTTTAAAAATAAAGTTTTTAATAGTCTAGTCAGTTGAGGTAAAGTCAACGAGTTCCACCAATTTTCAATAATACCTGAAAATGAATTTCGTAAAAAAGCTTTATACATAATAATAATTAGATAATTTGCGTGAGGAATGAAATATAATATTATTTGCGTTTATTACATATAATATGCAAAAGCTCCTGGCAGATTTGAGAAATTGTTCGTTGCAGATAAACAGACATGTAAACCATACGTGAGAAAAAAAATTTGACAAAGTTCCCAATTTTATTCCAAACATCTTTTCGTAAATTCCATTTGAGAAAAATCTTCTTGACGTTTTCTGGATGGATTCATTAATAAGAGATTTACTTTACCACAAGGAAACCTCGACAAGAAATGCATCATGAAACGTATCTTTAAATTACAAATTACATAATCACCGATTAGGGTTAATCGAGTTGATGATATCCTTTGTATATATGGGGTAAGTTCCGATATACTGGCAGTACTGAAAAATTTTTCCGCTATTACTACGCAGCGCGCTGCGACAGCGTCTAGTTCCCTCAATGACGTCATAAATGGTAGCCATATTGCCACTGCAACTACTGCGGCTTTCGAGGCAGTTACAGTAGAAATATGGCATCCAACATGGCATCAACGCCAATGATATCGAATAAAATTATTCGGAACTGATTCTGATCGAAATTATTCAATTATTCACATTTCGATTGTATTTTTAGAGAAAACGGAAAAATTCAGATCGAAATTCATCGAAACAAAAAATACCCGTCTGGTACTACTGAAAAAATAAAAATATTAGATCCTGAATCTAAAAAGACGTATATTCTTTATTTAAATGTAGAAGATGCGCATAAAGCACGCAATGGTAAATAAAGCTATTGATATGTCACTTCTTAAAATAATTTATAATTATATTCTCGAGGCTTTCACGGGTGTTTCCTATATGACAATCTTGTGTTTCGCGGGTTTTCTCCGTGTTCAAAT